GTATCCACCGTAGCCGTACTTGTCACCGTGGCCATGACCGTGACCCTTGCCGTTGGTCTGGACAACGGCAATCAAACAGACGATGGCGACAAACCATTTACACGACATTGTAGCACTCAAGGTCCTTCTATGCTTCTACTTGTATTTCATCACTTGATCCCGGTCATCATTTTTATAGCCTCTGGTACAGTTTGTTCGATAGCTTGACCCTTAATAGTTGATCGAATCGATTGAGGCAGAAGAACGTAAGCCAAAAGTCTGTATATCGACTATGCCATATTGGCCTAGTTATGTATGTCCCTAGCGCCATGAGTTCAATTCTGGGCTTTTCGTCATAAACAAGAGCAACTAATTTTTGCGGACAATTCGGCCGCAAACCATTTTATGTACTTCAGGGGAACACGAAATTCTAATCTCAAAATTTGCTTATATTTCGGTCGCACAACAGGAGGCATTTTGCTCAAAGGGTAGGTATTTGGTTACTGAGCCTTACAGGTGTGAATGTATGCTCTTTAGTTGTACTTGCTATCGCATGCCAGTAGGCGCTCGGGACTGGGTGTGGATGAAGTAAGTGCGTTTGAGTAAACTCAAAGACGTTATTTAATGAACAATTGGGCTCTTTTTGACTCCTGCTGATCGGCCGCCTAGTTCGAAAGGGTTTAGGGACAATTAATTTTTAGGTTATTAGCCCGGTGAGGTAGAGAACGCATGACTTCATCAGAGAGATGAATTGATAATTAATTCATATAAAGCCCCTGCATGATTTTAGTATTTCCTCTAGAATCGACGATGTTACTGTTTATTGAATAAGAAGAATTTAATTGTGACGAGGTATGGGTTGCGTGACTTCATCAAAGAGTGGCCATCATTTGACCGGATTTTATTTTGAAACGATGGTTAACTCATATAAATTATTTTTAGTTTGTTGTGCGATTGTCGATTATAAACGCCCGTATTTCTTTTCGAATCTGCGAAATCACTCGTTTTGGCTTGATTACAATGCAAAAGTTTGTCTTGATATAGAATTGTTTAGCACAAGTCTGGTCAAAAGATCGGCTTCACTTGTCTCTTTGACGAGTTGTTGTGTAATGTTAAGAATGGCGAGACTCACTGACGATGCCGGCGAAACGTTTGGGAATGTACCACGTCCACGGTCCGACTTTGGAAATGATCGTGCAGACAATGGACCCCGGACTAGGTGCCTTCCAATTAGTCTTCCTACCAATATGACCATGTTGCGAAAACAAGGTCAAACAACCTCTAAATAATTTTTAGTTTGCTGTGCGATTGTCGATTGTAAACGCCCGTATTTCTTTTCGAATCTGCTTGATTACAATGCAAAAGTTTGTCTTGATATAGAATTGAAATTGAATAATACTCAATCGCCTAAGTCAAGTTCGTAGTGATGGCTCAATTTCCCACAACAAAATAAGATATAGAAGTGGGTTGACCTCGTTGTCGCAAATTGGTATTGTGTTCAGGGAGACTATGTAGAA